ATAGAATAGAATAGAATAGAATAGAATAGAATAGAATAGAATAGAATTCTTTATTGGCCAAGTGTGATTGGACACAAGGAATTTGTCTTGGTGCAAATGCTCTCAGTATACATAAAAGTGTACAAGGACAAATAGCTGAAAAACAGCTTCTATCCCAAGGCAACTAGCTCTGTTGAGGTCTACTGTATGGTGCAGTGTTGATGTGGTGTTGGGGCTTTTCAATTCAATGTGTGGAATGTGAAGGATGTGTGAGTGTTTATTTTCATAGTCAAGATGTGCACTGAAGATGGTGTTTGATTTTGTTGTACGAGGTGCAGTGACAATAAAGTAAACTAAACTAAACTAAAGAAAAGAGACCTTCGTCAAGAGTCAAGAATCATAAGGTACGACACTTAGTGATAGTCATAGGGTACAATAAGCAATCAAATCATACTAGGAAACAGTCAATATAAATCGTAAGGATTCAAGCGACAAAGTTACAGTCCTACAATCACAAGTGGGAGGGGATGGATGATCAGGAGTGATGAGAAAATTAATAGCAATAGTAGTGCAGACTTTGTAAATAGTTGGACAGTGTTGAGGGAATTATTTGTTTAGCAGAGTGTTAAGCAAATCACTGCAGTTGTTAAGTGAATCATGCAGTCATTAAGCAAATCTGGCTTCCCACATTGACTTTAGAATAGAATGAATGAGCTGGAAGGGACCTTGGGAGGTCTTCTAGTCCAGCCCCCTGCTCAAGCAGGAGACCCCATATAATTTCAGATAAGTGACTGTCTGTAGACTCTTCTGAAAAACCTCCAGTGATGAAACCCCTGCAATTTTTGGTGGCAAGCAGTTCCACTGGTTAATTGTCCTCACTGATAGGAAGTTTCTCCTTAATTCCAGGTTGCTTCTCTCCTTGATGAGTTTCCATATCCACTGTTTTCTTGTCCTGCTTGGGACACAGCAACAGGTCATAAATATGAACCAGTTGCCAAGCATCTGAATTTTGACCACAGGATCATGGGGATGTTGCAAAGGTCATAAGTGTGGGAAATAGTCATAAGTCCCTTTTTTCAGTACCGTTATAACTTCGAATGGTCACTCCATGAACGGTTGTAAGTCGAGGACTCCCTGTCTACAAGAGCAAGCTTCAGCCCCCAAAGGGTTTTTCTTCCACCCACCCTTGGGAATCACGCATTCATACGACGCCTGGGAATCACGCATCATGCATTCGCGTACAGGCGGTCGCTGAAGCCTTCCGAAATCGCAACTCGGGGAACTCCGAGTCCTCGCCTTTCGTCAGCCTTAAGGGTAGGGTTCTCCTGCTTGGGCGTAGAGGGGGGGAGGGGTTGGACTAGATGACCTCTAAGGTCCCTTCCAACTCACAAGCCGAGCGCGATCCGGCTCGAGAAGCAGCTTTGCGGGCGGAGCAGCTGCCGGGTCTGGAGCCAAGCCCCGCCCGGGAGGCGGATCGGGCAGGCGGGCCGGAAGAGGCGCCGGAGAGCCCGGCCTTGGTGCGGCCATGCCGGGGACGTCTGCCGAGGGGCGATGCGTGGTCTGCAGACGCGAGGGGCGCCAGGCCGCGAAGTACCGATGTCCAGGCTGTCGGGAGAGATAGTGAGTACCTACCAGGGCGCGCTTTGCTTATGCTCAAGAGGCCGCTTTCGCGAGGGGAAGGGGCTTCCCAGGGTCTGGCGTTTGCAATGGGGGAGGGCGAGGGGGAGGAAGGCGCTTGGATGATCTCTCATTGGAGGGGAGGGGGGTCCGCACTGAGGAGGCTTGGAGATGCTTTGCAAGCACAGGGGGCGATTTGTTTTTGTCTATCTATCTATCTATCTATCTATCTATCTATCTATCTATCTATCT